ATTCAGTGCAGCTTCAGTTGAGATAGTCAAGAAGTGGAAGGATTACTCAGCAAAAATAAGAAAAAACTTAGGTGAATGCAGCTCATTAAAGAAAAGGTGAAGGAGCCCCCTGAGACAGATGAAGAACAATCTCAAACTGAAAAGGTTTTGAAACAAATCAATACATTGACAGGTAAGAAGAAGGCAGAATGCCAACCATCAAGCAGCTCTGCAGCAACTGAACATGAAACTGCTAATTTGTGAACTGCAATGCATCTGGTGTCAGAGGAGCAGACAATGGTTGGTATAACTTCAGACTCTCAAAAAGACACGACAGGGTGATGCTGAAATCTAGGGAGCAACATTGCTGGTGTTTGTACTTGGAAAGATCAGGAGGAACTGTGAGAGCAGCTGTAGGATTCCACACACATTTTTTCCCAGGGAAGTCACACTTCATGAATGTGGTGGAAACATCTGTAGGATTGTACAAGCTTTGTGTGTAAGGGTGGTGCAGATGGAAGATTTTGTAAAAAAATTTTACGTAACTTTGGAATTCTAAGAGATACAAAGGTCATGTTCTCCCAGTTTTAAGCTATAGGGCAGGAAATGACAGAAATAATTAAGAGCCTTAACTGTGGAAGGAATCTGTCAGTGGCCTGCTACAAGTATTTGTACATTGGACTTTACTATTCAATACATTCTCCAGGGACCTAGCCAAGGCTGTCCAGCAGGCTGACAAAAGAAAAAAGGGGAATCAATGTTAATGCTGAGCTCAAAGATGCAGAAGGGCATTGTGTTCCTACATAACTGGGTGATCAAACAGGGAATGAAAATTTAATGTCAGTGACAGCAAAATAGGGGCAAAAAATAACTCATACCTGTTTGTCCTTAGAAACAGATCTTTGAGTCACTTTGGATAACATTCTGAAAACATCAGCCCAGTACTGAGCAGTGATCAAAAAAGTAGCTAGGATATTTTTACTTAGTTTGAGCACAAAACAGGAGTTCTCATTATGTCACTCTGTACTCTTCCAATGCATGTGTTTTGAAGATCACTTGTTCTTAGTCACCTTGTTTTAAATAGATCACAGCAGAACTAGAATGAGGAGTAGAGTGATGAGGATTATTATGGTTACAGGATGACTTCCTGATGAGAGGCACTATAGATGTTGAAACATGCAAATGTGCTGGAGGAGAGCAAGTAGAGAATCACAGACTCACAGAATGTTTTGGATTGGAAGGGACCTTAAAGATCATCTAGTTTCAACCTCCCTGCTGTGAGTAGGGACTCCTTTCACTAGACCAGGTGTTCAGAGCCCCATCCAACCTGTCCTTGAAGACTTGCAGGGAAGGGAAATCTATCAAATGAGGAATAACATGGAGGGGATTGAGCACAGGATGATTATTTACCAAGATTCATAACACAAGAACTCCTGGAAAGTCAACAAAATGATCAGACAATAAAGATAAAATAATCAAAAGGCGATGTTCTTCCCTGGTACACTGTCATATTATGAAATTCACTCTCTTAGAAACTAAAAATATAAAACTACTCAAATCAAGTCAGATGACTTCATCAATGGTCTGGATAAAGCCACTGGCTCAAAAAGCCCCTGAATTTCTCTTTGCCTAAAAATAAAGGCTGTTCCAGGAATTGGAGCCCTGTTTCTTGTGCCCTTTTCTCCAGAAAGCTCTGTAGGAGGCCAGGCAGATCACTGGCCTGACCCAAAATGTCTTTTCTTATGTTGTTGTAGAGCTCTGGCCTTTACTTCCCCCCTGCATCTGCCAGGCCACCACTTTCTATGGATCCTTTTTATGCCTAGTCAGTAACATTTGATACTATGGAGCTAAGTTTTCTAGAAGAGGTGATCCTTCCCTTCTGCACCTGGCACGACCCTCTGCACTGCCATGTCCAGTCCTGGGCTCTCAGGAGAGAGATGGCCATACTGGAACAAGCTGAGCCAAGGGCCATGAGGACAAGGAAGAGCTTGGAGCACCTGAAATATGAGTAGAGGAGGTTGAGAGAGCTGTGACTGGGGAACAGGAGGCTCAGGGGGATCACATCAATTTACATTACATAAGTACCTGGTGGCAGGGGTACCAAAGACAAAGCCAGGCTCTCCTCAGTGGTGTCCAGGAGAAGGGCTAGAGGCAATGGGCATGAAATGAAAAGCAAAAAATTCTGTTAATATATAAGAAAAAGCTTTTTCATTTTAAGAATAACTGAGTACTGAAATGATAGAAGCATACCCTACCGAGGCAAGAATTTCCCACTCCAGACCCTTCCTAGATCACAGTCCAGTATTTTTTAGCCTAAAGGATCAGAGAAAGTACTTTGTGTGGTACAGAAACACACTTCCACAGCCACCCCAGTTGTAGGGCACTAAGAGCTGAGAGAAGAAGCTGGGCAGCAAACCTGTCATGCACTCCACCAAGCATCATCAAAGAAGGACTGCTCGAGCTGAAAGTATGTTTGCAATTAACATCTCCAATTTGCAAAATAACCTTTAAAATATGATTGTAATGGTTTACAGTAGGTGGGAGCTAAGGTGTGTTTGCAGTATTTAAACAACAGCTAGAGATGGGAATGGAAATCTGGTCTGCACATGGAGTTCTTCAGACTGCAAAACTTCCCCACATTACTCACTTTTCTATGTATTATAAAGCTGGTTGCATAAAAGGGCAGAGATCAAGCTCATGCATTTCTTGGACACCCATAAACTCTATAAGGCGTCTTAAGTTGGGAGATCTGGGCTTCAAACCTTCCCCTTAATTTGGAAAATATTCAAGATCTGAGAATGACCCAGGATTTGAATCTGGGTCATTCTCAGATCTTGTATATGGCCTCCACCCCACTGCCAGGTACAGAGACACACACCCCCATCTGAATTTCTGCAAGATTCTTGGCTGAGTCTGGCCCAGATGCAGTTCAGTATCTTCACAGCAGCCCTGGGGGTGCTGTGCTTAGGATGTGTGACTAAAACAGTGTTGAAGGTACACTGAAGTTTTGACTGAGCAGTGCTTGCAAGGCATCAAGGCTTTCTCTGTTTCCCACTCTGACCCACCAACAAGTCTGGCTGAGGGTAGGAAAGACACTGGGAAGGAACACAGTTGGGACAAATTCCCTGAATTGGCCAACAGGATATTCCATACCATACAATGTCATGTTCAATCAGCTCAGCCATCAGCAATAAAGACTGAAGTAAAGGAAGAAGAAGGCTTCCCAGGTTGTCATTGTTCAGAGACCAGGTGGGCCTATGTCTGGTTGTGGGGCATAGTGTGTGATTGCCTTCTTTTCCCCCCACTTTTTTCTTCACCTATTAAACTGCCTTTAACTCCACTCACCAATTTTCTTACTTTGGTTCTTCCTTTTTTGTCCCCCATCTCACTGGAAGTGACAAGGACAAGCAAGCATTTCTGTAGGCGCTTGGCTGCTGGCCGAGTTCAACCCACCACACTTCTCCATCCTGAAAATGTATTTATATGCTGTCTGTCAAGTCTGACACATCTTCCAGTCTTGCTGACAGAGCAGAGAATAACTGCAGGGCAGTTTTTCGAGAAAGATGCACCTCTCCCTTTGCAGCCATACCAGCCACCCCGTGCCACTCACTGAGGCAAGGAGCCACCAGCCAGAAGAAGGCTCCTTTCAGGCCAGAAGAAAGGCTCCTTGCAGGCCAGAAGAAGGCTCCTTGCAGGCCAGAAGAAAGGCTCCTTGTAGGCCAGAAGAAAAGCTCTTGCAGGCCAGAAGAAGGCCTCCCTGCAGGCCAGAAGAAGGGCTCCCTGCAGGGCAGAAGAAGGCTCCCTGCAGGCCAGAAGAAGGGCTCCCTGCAGGGCAGAAGAAGGCTCCTTGCAGGCCAGAAGAAGGCTCCTTGCAGGCCAGAAGAAGGCTCCTTGCAGGCCAGAAGAAGGGCTCCCTGCAGGGCAGAAGAAGGCTCCCTGCAGGCCAGAAGAAAAGCTCCTTGCAGGCCAGAAGAAAGGTACCCTGCAGGGCAGAAGAAAAGCTCCTTGCAGGCCAGAAGAAGGCTCCCTGCAGGCCAGAAGAAGGCTCCTTGCAGGCCAGAAGAAGGCTCCCTGCAGGCCAGAAGGAAAGCTCCTTTCAGGCCAGAAGAAGGCTCCTTGCAGGCCAGAAGAAGGCTCCTTGCAGGGCAGAAGAAAGGCTCCTTGCAGGCCAGAAGGAGGGCTCCTTGCAGGGCAGAAGAAAGGCACCTTGCAGGGCAGAAGAAAGGCTCCTTGCAGGCCAGAAGAAAGGCTCCTTGCAGGCCAGAAGGAAAGCTCCTTTCAGGCCAGAAGAAAGGCTCCTTGCAGGGCAGAAGAAGGCTCCTTGCAGGCCAGAAGGAGGGCTCCTTGCAGGCCAGAAGAAGGCTCCTTGCAGGCCAGAAGAAGGCTCCTTGCAGGCCAGAAGAAAGGCTCCTTGCAGGCCAGAAGAAAGGCACCTTGCAGGCCAGAAGAAAGGCTCCTTGCAGGGCAGAAGAAAGGCTCCTTGCAGGCCAGAAGAAAGGCTCCTTGCAGGGCAGAAGAAAGGCTCCTTGCAGGCCAGAAGAAAGGCCCCTTGCAGGGCAGAAGAAAAGCTCCTTTCAGGCCAGAAGAAAGGCTCCTTGCAGGCCAGAAGAAAGGCTCCTTGCAGGCCAGAAGAAAGGCTCCTTGCAGGCCAGAAGAAGGCACCTTGCAGGCCAGAAGAAAGGCTCCCTGCAGGCCAGAAGGAGGGCTCCTTGCAGGCCAGAAGAAAGGCTCCTTGCAGGCCAGAAGAAAGGCTCCTTGCAGGCCAGAAGAAAGGCTCCTTGCAGGCCAGAAGAAAGCTCCTTGCAGGCCAGAAGAAAGGCTCCTTGCAGGCTGTCCTTGCCTTGCAGTTCTCGTCACCCACCACAGGGAGACAGCTGCAATACATCTCTGGGAAAAAAAAACCAGCCCAAAATGTCAGGCTGAGGAGTTTGTACGGAAACTACGACACATTGCTGCGCAGAGACGTGGCTGCTGTGGACTTGCCCTTTCCAGAAAAAATGAGTTTGGTAGCTTCGGATGGAAGCCCACAAGCAACTTTTCCCTCTGGCCGGCTCGTGGGCTGAGGGAATGGCCTTGGACTGGGCTGGGAGGGGCCCTGTTACCCTGTTAGCCGGAGCACTGCTGCCCTCAGTGCAGGAGAAGGGAACATGGAATGAACACAGACCGTGAAATGTCCAATATGCTGTGGGCAGGAGAAGAGTCCTGTGGCTGAGGTAACTCTGCACTGCTGGGGATGCTGATTTTTCCGTGTTTGTGTTATAGCTTTCTTGGCTGAAGCTGAGAATTTCACTTGAAGTGCTTGACATTGATACCCCATAATGGGTGAACTTCATTTTCTGGGGACTTAATCTGCAGTCTAGACTGGGAAAATACCTGGGCCTGAAATCAGTAAGTGCCTTAAAAGTACACTGGGTGAAACAGTGGACCCCTGAGATTGGTTTCCACTTCTGATCTTGACTGCTGTGCTGCATGGCCTATGGTTCAAACAGGACTCACAATACCTCACCTTCTACAGGATGTTGCAAAGGACCATGAAGAACAGCAGAGGGAACTCTAGAGGAAATTAAAAAGTCATACTCTTGAAAGCAGATAAACTCAGCAAACACAAATGCAGGAGATCTGAAAAGCTCTAGCAGTGAGCAGTAGTGATTCCTGAAGTGCTGTTGGGTGTGTGCACTCAGTAAGACAAGGTTCATGAACTTGAAGACCAAATCCACAAGATTATGCATGAGCATAAAGAGACCAAATGAAGACTGAAGACATAATTTTATTTTTGGCACTTCCTAGTTCTGCATGAGTGACTGCACTCAAGTAAGTGTCTCTTAGGGCAGTCTATTCTATGTTAATTACTTACAAATTTTTGGCAATATCCAGGCTTCCCTTCCCCTGTGGAAGGATTTTATAATTAAAATCTCCAATACTTGTTAAGGCACCAGCAAAATTCTCTATCCAGCCACTCAACTGTTCATGCTCTCCAAACATGGGAATTCATATCCTCTGAATGCCTTCCCTTCCAGCAGTTGGCAGAAGCAAGTCCTGGCCAGGAGCAGGTCCCTCCCAACACCAGGTGTGCTCCAGCAGGACATGATCTCCACACAGCATTGGGTCCTTGGTGACTGCCCTGGGATGTCAGCCACAAGTGGCTCCATGGGTGCCTAAAGGTGATGAGAACTTACAAGATATGTTTAAATGACTGACTAAAGGGAAAACAGACCAGTCTCAAAGTGCCCAGTAACCCACTTACACATGGGACCTTGCACCTACAGACAGGATGTGAGCCCTGGAAGTGCTGTAATCACAGCTGCTGGGCCTGGGCTGCTGGGATTTGGTCCAGACACCAGCTGGGAAGTTTCCCAACGGGCTGGGATGAGTGGTTTTCCTATCAGCAGTTTTCTGAAAGTTCCTCAGATGCTTTTGTGGCTTTGCCCAGAGCCCTGTCAGTCTGTGGGGCAGCACCCTGCAGCCTGAGGCCCAGCAGGGCCAGCCCCCACCACCATGATGGACATGTCCCACCATGCCTTCAGCAGGCTTCAGCCAAGGTGTCCTGAGCAATTTAACCTCACAGCTGAACATTCAGAGCCTCAGAGCAGTCTTGTAGGTATTTCCTCCATGCACTTCAACATGCAGATGCTCCCACCCAGCACAGTGTGGCATCAGTGAAAGCACCAGATTCATTTACAACTGTAAATGGCTGCCACAGGCAAGGGAGGAGAGAAGGGACAGAACTGTGAGCCCTCTGTGAGCCAGGTAAGTGTGTTCAACAATGAAATGAGGAGAGGAGAGGAGAGGAGAGGAGAGGAGAGGAGAGGAGAGGAGAGGAGAGGAGAGGAGAGGAGAGGAGAGGAGAGGAGAGGAGAGGAGAGGAGAGGAGAGGAGAGGAGAGGAGAGGAGAGGAGAGGAGAGGAGAGGAGAGGAGAGGAGAGGAGAGGAGAGGAGAGGAGAAAAAAAAGAAAGAGAGAGGAAGGGAAAAGTATATTTGCTGTGTACTAAAACAGACCAACTGGATGGCAGAAGAACTGCATTAACTACATGTTCCCAGGGGCTTGGAATATGGAGTCTCTGCTAACAGTGGCTTTGCAAGATTATTAAAAAAAAAAAAAAAGGGGAAAGCAAGAGTCTGGCTACATGAGAAAAACAAACTCAGTATGAGGATTCTCAGTCATCTGGAGGACTGGAGGATGATTATTGCTGACTGTGGGAACAGCTCACATATTTGGAGGCACTGCCTATGTAAGCTCACGGGAGCAGCTTCGTGAGGCTCGTTGTGGGGGCAGGACAAGTGCCTGGCCATGGATGGGGTCTGCCCCACTCAGTGCAGCTGCTGCCTGCAGTTACTGGGATGTGAAATACAGATCTGAGGTCAGCTGCTGGCTCAGCACGAAGCAGCTTTCAGTAATTATAGATGAGCATAAGGCTGGTGCCCCTAGATCAAACACTGAAAAGTTTACACAGCCACTGTCCACTCTCATTTCCACCATAAGGGTGCTCTTGCTCTTTCAGGGGTGCAGGTTTTTGAGGTTTTCTGCAATTTTCTTGTCCCCTTAGCAACTAGGTTTATTTATTTTTATTTATTTTTCTATTTATTCCAGGACTGAGAGCTCTGTCACACGCTTCACTGTGTTCTGAGTAACCCTAAACACTGAAGAGCCAGGAATAACTCCTTTGCTGCAGTCAGTGCTTGATACAGGCACTTCTTTTATCTACTGAGTGAAATAATCAAAGACAAGAGAAAACACTGAGCAGGTAGCTGGTGGCAGAGTAGAAGCAATATCTGAAAGATTATCACAGCTCCAGAGGTCAATGTGCATTTCAAAAAGCACACTGTGCTGTGGGTCTCTGCCCACAGCCACCAAGGGTGCCCACCACCCCCTACCCACAGACTGCCAGATGCCACCAGCCAAGGCTCTGACACTGCTTTAGGAACAAGAAATTATATTTAGCATTGGCTCAGCTTTTTCAGTAACTAGATAGAGAGAAAGACTGAAGTAGTCTGCAACAGGCAGGACATCAGCCCCTTATTCCACTTGTCCTGAAAGATTGTTGACACATGCCTATAAAGTGCTCAAAATATTACATATGCCCAGAACTGTTATTATCACAGAAAATACTTCCCATGAAAGCTCATTTATGCTTTTTTAAATCAGTCTGGATGTTGAAAGGTAGTAGAAAACCTGGTGTCTGTAATCTCTGCAACAGGAAAAAGGCTGGGTTCACTCTCCGTTTTTAGTGAGACTATTCTACCCCCACATGGTGGACCAGGTTGAATCTGTTCTGCTTTCCTGAGGCAAAAGCTGTGGCTGAGGCTTGGGTCCAGGCACTCTCCTATGTCACTTCTGTCCCTTTTTGCATGAAGGGAGTCACCAGAACAAACGCTGGGCCAGCTGCAGGACTTTTTTCTTGGAAAGCACATAAAGCACCTGTGTGTTGGAGCTGCAGAGGGTTTGGAGCTGCAGAGGGTTTAAGCACACACTTGAGCAAAGGTAAGGATAAGGATGGAAAAGGAGTAAATTGTTTTCATCCCTATCAGATGGAGGTAACAGTAAGTTTTTCTTAGAGATCAATTCCCAAATATCTAGCATATCTATATGACATGGAAGTTCTACCCTTCCCCTGAATGCTATTATATTAACTGAAAAATTTCAGGTTGCAGTTCCTCATTCCAGAGAATCTGTATCTCAGTAAAAGCTTACAGGAAGAAGACTTTGCAGAAGTAATGCAGAACACAGTAGGTACTTTCATGGGGCTCTGCTGTGGGTTATTGTGTTTCAATTGGAGAAGTATGTTGCTCTGCAGAAGAAAACTTAAGTGTTCAGAGAGGAAATCAACTTCCACTACTGCCTCCTGGAAGACTATGGCAAGGTCGAGTGGAACTTCCTTGTTCCCATTCTCTGCATTTACACTGATGTTCAGTAGACAACACCAAGCATGGTGGCTCTCCTGCTTTAGTAGGGGTTTAAATACTGGAATTGTCAGCAAAAGGGCAAGTTAGTCTCTCCTAACCCCCACTCCAGCCAAAGCCTTCATGTAGCTTCTCTAATACCAACAAGCCTTTGGGAACTAGTTTTTCCTGGAAAAATAAGTTAATGCACCAAGTCAGCTGTTAACTCTGCAAGGTGCTGTCTGAGATAAGGACTCACATGAACTATTTCTCTGCTACATAAGTGCTATGTTTTATAAAGCCAAGTTTTAAGGTACTTCAGGCATTCTGACATTTAGTAACTGCATTAACTAGTATATGGAAACAAGATTAATATTTATTAGCTTGAAGTATCATATTTTATTCAAGTGATATCATAATACATTATGCAACTGCCAGTTATAATCCATTTTAATTGGTTCCAAAACCTAAGCAGTAAATAAGTAAGACAGTTTATCTAGTTAAACTGAAAAAACAGCATTCCACACAGCCAGTACTAAAGATGTCAACCGTATAATAATTCCAGCATTATGTTGTTATGGCTTTCCAGAAAGTCATGAAGTTTAACAAATTAGAACACATCAAGAGCCATTTTCCAAAGATTTATTGAAGTAGCGACAGGTTGCTCATACTGTGCTGGAAAAAGCAGTTTTATTGAATTCAGATACTTAAAAACAGTATTGCAGCACAAGATATTGCTATTTGTAAACTAGACTCCATTGTAAACTCTAATCCTTCAGGGAGAGTCAGTTTGCAAGATCTAAGACCTATTTCCTAGCATAATCATCTTGCGCTCATGGAAAAACTGCAGAAAGGCACTTGAAAGCTGTTTCTTCCTTTAAGACATGGACTTTTTCAATCTTGCTGGTAAGAATTTCTCCTTTAGTGAGAATGCATCTTCACTTCAGCTTTACTCCAAGTCATCATGATGCTGGGAAGTTTCATTAATAACCTAATGAAAAACAGAAACACTTGCATTAAGTTTAAGTAGGAAGGTTTTTGTGGGTTTTTTAAGAGTTAGAAGCGGAACATCCACTTCCAAAATGTGAACAAGTGGGTTCAGCTTATCAGCTCTCACTTATGAGAAATTCTAGTTTGCAAATAGCATACAGAAACCATTCAAGTTTTATTTACTTACACCAACAACAGCATCTTATCCTAAGCGAGCAAAATATCTCTGTTTATTGTCACATGTTTTCCTAAGGGAATCTATTGAGAATTTGCTAACTCAGCTGAGTTAGCAAATACACAGGTAACAGTCACCAACTTAAAGTTCTACTATCAGATGAATTTTGATTTTTTTTCCAAAGAAACCTGTTTGCTATACGTGTATGTTCACACAGCTTGGAATGCCAGTTGCTGTTCTACTCAAAACTTACTACCAGATACAAGCTGCAGTAAGCAGTAGGCAAGCTTAAGAATTTAAGGTTACCAGCTGTGATAGAAATAAAATTAAAGTTACCACCAACCTGTCCATCTCTAGTTTCGACGGTCTTAATTAGAAGTGTTCTCTTTGAGTGAGTGTCAACCATTGGCTGAGACTCAATGTTGGTTTCTGCAGAAGAAGATGTATTATTACCAATAGTCTAGATGAAGTGCCTCCTCAAAGCTATGAGGTGTAACAGATTTTAGTGTCAACTTTCAGAATCCCAATTTAGTATACAAAGAAGTCTCCTGCTCTGAATAAGCCAGGCCTTCCACATTTTTCTCTCTGTGCCCCTTAAAGCACTTTCAGCAGGTATCCAAAGTAATTACTTGTATGTATCAATATTTAAAAATATGTGTCCAGGAACAAAGGAGCTGCTACCATCCAAGGTTAAGTAGTTGCATCTACTGTAGGTGGATCCAAGAAGAGTATTCACAACCAACTGCATTTATACAAGTTCAAAAACCAGCATAAAAGGAACTATCCAGAACCCTCATGCTAATGATAGAGCAACTGCCTAAACTGAAATAGAAGAAACAGCTTACCTCTCAGGTTCAAAGCAGCAAAGGTTGGAATAGGCATGTTAATCCTGAAGGAAAAAAGAAATGGATAAATTCAGATATGGGTATAAAGTATCTTCTAATAATTTCTGGCTTTAGAAAAATGTTTGCATGTGATTACCTGCTCTCTTCACCCTCCAGCAGTTTTCTGTAGGTGGCAATTTCAATATCAAGAGCCATCTTTACATTCAGCAGGTCCTGGTACTCGCGGAGATGGCGAGCCATTTCTTCCTTCATGTTCTGAATCTCATCCTGCAGACGCCCAATAGTGTCTTGGTAGTTAGCAGCTTCCACAGCAAAATTCTCCTCCATTTCACGCATCTGGCGCTCCAGGGACTCATTCTGGAAGAGAATAGTGAAATCAAGCACTGCTGCAGATCAGTGACTCTTCCCCACTCTTGAGACCCTCAACATTTTAAAGAAGGAAAATTGTATTACATTAGCATCCTTTCTGAAAATGCCCAGACATGTCCCAAATTTGTCATCTCCTTATCTTCCCTTTGCAGAGTCAGGGAGAGTTATTCTGCAGTGTGATCTGAGGTGTGCCACATATTTGTTGTGCCAGGTGGCAAAGCCATCCTTTACAGTAAGCCCAATACATGCAGTTCAAGTCAGCATGCAGACAATCCTTGGTAGAGGAGATTTGCAGGTGTGCTAAACACTGTTACATCCATTTCAAGCCTGTCTTAAAGGAGTCATGTTTTAGCAATAGCAAAATTTGCACCTTTCACAGCTCCTCCAGGTTTTTTTATAACTTTATCTGTACCTGACAGACAAGGCATAAACACTTTCAGAAAGTGCTAAATAAACAGTGAATATTATAGCAAGAAAGTGAACTTATTGTTTACAGCTTAAGACTAATTCAGTGTATCAATCTAGCCAGTGCACTGTTGTGCATACACACAAATTGAGCCTACACCATCCTTTTCAAAAAGTATTAATATGCTGCTGAATTGCATGGCAGATTACCTGCATTCACATCCAAATTGACAATTAAACTGCAGTGCAGTGCCTAAAGCTGCAATGAAGAAGAACAACTGCTGTCCTTTTACTTACGCTTCCCTTAAGAGCATCAACTTCGCAGGTGAGAGACTGGATCTGTCTGCGGTACTCATTGGCTTCCTGCTTGGCCTGGCGCAGGGCATCGTTGTTCCTGTTAGCAGCTTCAGAGAGATCTGCAAACTGGAAAACCCCAGTCTGGTTAGCATAACACTTCAACAGAAACAGTGAAACAAACCTTCTGTGGACAACTGGAGGTATTACAAGAGTTAGCACTTGAAATGCTTAAATATTGGTATTACTCTTAAAGTACCTCTCTATTTCTAAATGTAATATTAGAATTCATAGCAAACGTTCTTACTTGTTTTCCTGCATTGTACATTTGCTATCTTTTCACTAATTTCTCCAGGACAGGAAAGACTCCCAGTGTACACCCATTACTTTGCTGCTGTAGTTATGGCACAAAATGTTTTCAGTTGTACCCTTCCCAGAGTAGGATTTAAAAAAAGGCTTTGTGTCATGGTTATGTTCATGTCCATTAGAGAGACAGAGGGAACAGCAAGTGCCACAGCAAAGCTGTTAAACAGAATTAGTTCCAGTGCCTGATGCATTTTACTTACTTTGGACTTGTACCACTCTTCAGCTTCCTGAAGATTCTTAGCAGCAACACTTTCATACTGTTGGCGAACATCACGCAGGGCAGCAGTAAGGTCAGGCTTAGAAACATCCATATCAATTTGGATGTGCTGTTCCTGGAGCTGGGCCTGCAATTCTCGGATTTCCTTAGAGAGAAGCAGACACTCAACATTATTGCACAAAAGCACTCAGATCATACACAGGTGGGGACTCTGGGACAGACAGTCCTTGCTAGACAGTCTGCATCTAAACACAGACCTCATTTCTCAGCTTACCTCATCATGAAGTTTCTTCAAGAAGACAATCTCCTCTTGCAGGGACTCAACTTTGCGCTCAAGATCAAGACGTGCCAGAGAGGCGTTGTCAACATCCTGACCAGAGAGAAGAACATTTCATAATCTTACAAAACTGATGTAGAGAAGTCTCTTATAGCAAGTTCAGCAGCATACAGGCTGATGCTACATCTGAGCTTTTTGGCAAAACAACAGGAAATCAAAAGCAGTCAAGAAAACCTTTTTGCCACCTCCTACCTTAGCCTTAAACCTTAGATATGCACCTTTATTGTGGATTTGAAAACTATACCATATATGTTGATGACATCTTTGCTGACATGCTGCTAAGCATGATCAAGAGCACACGGATCATAGTGGGTGTAAATCCTTCAAGTACTTGAGTCAGAAGTCTGCAGTAAGTGCTTCTAGCCTGACTATACTGACAAAGAGTTGCACTTTGCAAACTTCCACTCTTTTCAGTGGGGCTTAAAAGTGCAGCACATATGCTGTCAGGCCTATCAGTGGGCTTAACTTATGGACTGCTTGGTGAAAAAGCACAGAGCCCCTTAGGTTCACAGACCACACTTTTAAAGCATACTTGTAAAGCTGGTGAGGTATGTGTAAGAACTGCAGTATTCACAATGCAGGTCAACAGATCTCCCTTGAGAAAAAAAAGGTGTCAGCATAAACACAAATTGAGCTACTCATCATTGCCTACACCCTTGCAGTTGCTGGCAAAGGCTCCACCTTTTGCTGCACAGAGATAGTCTTAATCAACAGCAAAAATTCATTTAGAGCATAACAGAAGACATCAGGAATGCTACAAAGGAACAACTTGAATTAGTTCAAAAATATAAGACGTTGCCATTGATTGGCAACTTGTTACATTTTGAATGTGTAAGGCCTTTAGTTGCAAAGGGGAAGATTGTTCCTTTCACGCTAGTTACATACACAGCCACATGCTTGTGCTCACAGGGTATTAACATATCAGGTTCTCACAGCTTACTCTAAAGCTATTTTGGATTGTCCAAAGCATAAGCATTCCTAATCAGCAGCTCTCTTTATTATGGCACCTTTGAAATAAGGAGTGTTTTCTTTAGACTCCTAGAAAGCCTTTCCTTGGATCACTCCTACTCTGGGGCAAGGTCCTTGCTCCAGAAGAATTATTCTGTTTACTTTATCCAGCATAATACCCCTTTCATGCATCATTCCATAACTTTTCTATCAATTCCAGTTTTACACCCACAGTTCCTATCAGCTCTGTTTTTCAGTTCAGGGAAAGAATTTCCTAATTAATTTGTTTTCCTCCCCCCAAAACCCCTCATGATCATTCTGGCAGAAAATTACATGGCCATGACCCAACATGTTTACATAACTAGTCAGACATCCAAAGATTTTTCTAGAGGATTTTGCAGAAAACTTCACCCTGAAGGCTATTTTTTTTTAATAACAACTGAATAGCTACAGGATTTTAAGACCTTATAGTAAATTGAAAGCAAGTTAAACTGAAGACACTTAAAATATGTGGCATGTACTTTACTATCATTTATGCATTCCCTATCACTAAAATTCAGTGTTTCAGTAGTTTCTAGATGTGTGGAGAACCACATAAATGAATTGGCTACTTGTAGCCTGAACAAACAAGTACAACTTGTTTGCAGTTGGAATACGTGCTGATTTTATCCTAGGAGCTTCTTCAGTACAAGCCACACACTTTGCAGGGTTGAGCATCCATGTTTACTTTAGACAAACCTCATGTTAGCCAGGACCTGACCTATTAGGCTTGCCACAGGTTCAGGACCTATTCCTTGCTGCTAGATTAGCTGGCAAAGCTGCAGTAACTCTCTCACTGTGATGCTTGTCCTGCCTCAAAAGGAAAGTCCTCACTGAACTTTCACATATACTTTATGGAATACATCTCTCAGCACATAAGTAAAATAATATCTTTGTCCAGAAGAAATAAATTAAAATTCAGTACATATGAGCTGAACAATCTCTGAAACTGGCAGCTTTTGGAAATGAAAGCTTAAGTTCAAATATTCATTCTTTATTTTAAAACACTGAAGTACACAACTGCTTCATCAAGTACAAAGTATCTTTGATGATACATCAGAATAGGAAAGCACCTGCTGAAGTGATCCAAATCTATACAACTTTCCAGTGGAAAAATATAATGATTTAATAGAAAGCTGTGCATTGTTTTAAAATGGAAAACACAGCAGGATATTTCAGCTTCAGTGTTCTGTGAATTTAATTTCACTTTCAGAAGAACAAAACTTGCACTGAAACAGATTTAGGTTTCAAAACCAACATGTTAACTACATCCTTGCCAGTAAGGAAAAATTAGGTATGACCAATGGTCAAATCAAGCACACCAGCATGTACCAGTTATGTCATGAGGGGATTTAGTATAGAGTTTCCATAGACAATGATTTGCATTTCTTATGCACAAACTACAACTTAGGAGGTTCAATGGATCCAATTCTGACTGTCCTGCATGCACACATCTGCTGGAGGCTGAGCTTCTGAGTGACCCCTTTCCAAATAAAGGGAAAAACTGGACAATGAGTGCGGGGTAGGCACACCAAGCCAAGCTCACTTTAAAGCCCAGAGCCTCCATAAGATTCAGCTGGATTGAAATGCAGACATGCCTAAAGCACACCAATTAAATATGAAAGATCACGTAAAAGCCAACCTTAAGTCAATTGATCCTTCAACTGAATTCAGCAATGAATCAGAGTAGATGAGGTTCTCTAAAACTTAAGTTAAATGCTCCTTCATAGAACTTCACACTACAGAAAATTGTCTTAGCACTCATAAAAAACCCAAAAAAAACATAAGCTTAAATTAAGGCAGTATCTCAGACTGTTGTTTAAAACTTCTGTCCCCAGAATACCAGTGAAGACTGAATTCCCAGGCTCTGAATGGGAGTAGGTGTTTCAGTTTCCCCACACTATCTCTTGAACACACCTGCTGTCCTTCAAGAACTGTAAATATACTGCAGTCTTTCTTTTAGCCTTTCCCAGGGAAATGCTAACAATCAAGTGCTGATTTCCTGAACAGTGACTTCTGTTAATGCCTATGAAGAGCTCTGGGACAAAGTCAGCCTGTACCCAGCTGCCTGGTGATAAGGGCAGTCACTTCCAGTCTGAAAGAATGCTAGCAATGCTGTTTTACACCAGGAGTTTTAGAGAAAAGACCTTGTTTTGAGAAAGCACATTCCTAAATATCTCTTAGTCCAAACAAGGCTTAATCTAAGTTGAAAGCTGGTTTCGCACAAGTGAAAACTTGAGCTTAAAAATTTTAGAACACTGTTTGCACAGTTGTTTCTGGTTGTCATGTAGATTTACTTTATCTGGATAACATCACAGCATCCTACAAAGACTAAACTCTAACATAACTTGTTTCCTAGGTTAACATCTTTGTTTTACAGAGGATTAAATTTCATGTTCTTAATGGACACCCAGAGGGGGCAAGCTCAGTCCTATGACCTCGCCCCAAGGAACATACTGTCTACTTCTTGTCAGCAGACAACACCCACATAAAAAAACCTTAAATTTGAAACTGTTGCCCAGTAATGCACTGACCAGTGATTCATCAAAAAGGAGTTCTGTTTTGTACAAAAACTGGCCCATAACAGTCACATTTCGCTAGAAATATTCCCGCACCATGACACATTTAGTAAGAATGCAGCCCACTGCGCCCTCCCCTCCGACACAAAGGGATCTATTATTTCAATCTGCTGCCACCACACTTGCCATAATGCCTGTATCTGCATTCCACGGTGAATCCCATAGAAACCATTAATACCCTTCAGCCAAGCGAGCAGATGGCCCCCTTTCACTTTTATTGGATCGGAAAGTGATTCCACGTTGGGGTGTTTTTTGTAAAACGGGCTAGACTTGGATAAAGCAGGACAATAGTTTACCTCCCCTCCCCTCAGACTGCAGCATCCCCCTAAAGAAAACACGGAGGGCTTGCGTGAGAACTGACGGAAACCTCTTTGTGCAAGGAAAGCAAACTCCTGCACTCCCACCCTCCGCCCCAGGCACAGTCACCACCTCCTCGGGTCCCTCCCTCCTCCACCACCGCTAACCTGTCTGAAGGACTGCAGGGTGTTCTCGGCCTCCTCCCTCTGAAGCATCTCCTCTTGCAGCCTGGAAGGGGCAAGACGGCGGTGAGGAGGGAGCGGGGGTCCCCCAAATCCCCCCGCCCAGCCTCCCGCCCGCCCGGTACCGCTCGGGATGCTCCAGGGCCACCTCCGCGCCAGGGGACAGGGCGGCAGGGAGGCAGCGGGACACGGCGGCAGCCCCAACCCGCCTTCCCCCGGGACACTCACTTCTCCCGCAGCCGCATGATGTCGTCGGCAAGGTTGTCCCGCTCCACTTCCACTCGTGCCTTGTCGTTCGTGAGCTGGTCCACCTGTCGCCGCAGCTCCCGCATCTCCTCCTCGTAGAGGTCGCCCAGGCGGGACGTGCCCTTGCCCTTGAGCTGCTCCAGCTCGGCCAGCAGGATCTTGTTCTGCTGCTCTAGAAAGCGCACCTTGTCGATGTAGTTGGCGAAGCGGTCATTAAGCTCCTGCAGCTCAACCTTCTCGTTGGTGCGGTTTGCCTTGAACTCCGTGTTGATGGCGTCGGCCAGGGAGAAGTCCACGGAGTCGTGGAGCCGCATGGGCGGCATGCTGCTCCGCAGCCGCACCGACGTCGTCTTGGTGGCGTACATGCCGCCGGGCGAGGCGGACACGTACCGGGCGCTGCTGGGCCGCAGGGCGCTGCCCAGCGAGTACCGGCTGCTGGACGTGATGTAGCGGGTGCCGGTGCTAGGGCGGCTGCCCCCGCCGAACATGCGCCGGTACGAGGAGTTTTTCGTGCTGATGCTCATAGCGACAGCGGCGCGGGCTTTGTAATCCGGGAGTGGAGCGGGACGACCAGGGCGTGCGGCAAAGAAGGGCGGTGGCTGCGGCCAGGGCCCCTTCTTATGGGCGCCGCGAACCCGCCCCGCGGACCCGCCCCGCCCCGCCCCGCCCGCGGGGAAGGGGCGGCGGCCGCGGACACAAAGGCGGCGAGCGGGGCGGCTGGGCTCGGCCGGCGGGGCGCGGAGGGTGGGCGGCAGCCTGTGCTGTGGCTGGGTCCCCGGGGGCTGGCAGGTTTCCGCCGGGGCTGCGGGACGTGGCAGGGCGGTGTCCTACACAGCGGGCGCGGGGAACCCCGGCACGGCGCGCCCCGGGAGGACGCGGTGACAGCGGCGGCATCTTCGGCGTCGCGGAAATGGGCGCTTGGTTTCCCCCTCTCATCTCCTTGTCCCCCTCCAGAGTGAGCGTGGTGGCTGCAAGAAGGAGCTGGCAAGTTTAGTGTCACAGGCCTGGCAAAATAGTCCGAATAACTTATTAAAACCCCTCTATAGGTATGATGTATGTTTATCTAGATATCTTTCTAAGAACCTTGCCTTTCGAGTTTTCCAAAAGAGTAAGATCAGGGAAAAATTATGCTAACTACTCACAAAGGGCTGCTAAGTGTTCAAAATAAGCAGCCAGAAAATAATGTAGGTGTTTTCTTTAGCTGCCTCCCATGACAGTAATCTCTGCTCCTATGATTAAGAATAAACTTTATAGGTTAAATATGTTTTCCTTGTAGCTCGGTAAGCAGTTACATGCCTAAGGCATTATTGTAACAATGACCCCAGGAATAATTTAGGGGGTTTTTGTGTGGACAATACATTATTGAAATTGCTGCATCCCGGATCTTGCTCCCAGAAAATAACTAGGATAGTAGCAGGCTTGATTTTAACGAAAGTTTGTGTCTCCACTTCTGTACCAAACTGACTTTGCTATTAATTTTGGTAGGCATATGGTCAGAGTCTTAGGAGAGCATCTGGCCAAATGATAATTGTTCATTAACTACAATCTGCAAATACATACAAATATGTGAAAAATAAAGGGCCAGACAAAAATCCCAGTGTTTTCAGAGCAATTTTACTATCAAAATGGGACTACTAGCAATGGAAAAGAGTGATGTAGGTAGTACAGGGCAATAGCAATGGAATAAAAGTTAACAGAGAAAAACTTTGAGTAGCAGCAGATTGTTTCAGCATGAATGCAGAGGTTGCTTAAGGAAGATGACAGAATCTCTGCCATTTAGATAACTTTAAACTTGAGTGGCTAAAACATGATTCACATTCTGAAATTCTGCACTGATGCATCAGGTAAGGGACATATTTTTCTCTCTGCTATGGGAAGTGAAGGATACATTGTAGGCATATTATCTGTAATGTATTGCTTCAGCACTTGGGGGATGCAAAACTACCATTGATTTTTGATTCTTTTTAGCTTGCAGTCCTGCAGGAAGAAATCTCTTCACTGGAAGTTCTGATAAACCTGAACAGTGGGTAGAGAAAAAGGTAATCTTCACACCCCAATTCACAGTAGTCAGCTATTGTACTTCAGGTAATGTACTTTACAACGAAGAATGTGAACCTATGTATTTTATTAAAGATCTTGTTTATTTGAAAGAAATTCTGCTTTGCTTTCATTCTGTTGGCAACCAGAAGTGCAGGAATACAATTTGTATCTAAAAGTAAGTCCTTGAGGTTTTAATTTCTTTTGTTCACTGGAGCTTAGTCAAGCAAAGGAAGCTGACAAGGTTGAGCTACTGAAGTGCTTGCAGTATAAGTCCTGGGCTACAGCTCATTCCATTCACCCACTGAATAAGAGGCAGAGGTCACACAGCATTCCTGAGGCTAAGGGTTCCCAAAGCCCAGCCTGGACGCTGTTGTGCTGCCCAGCCCTCTCAGAGCTCTATTTAAGCCATCAAGTTTGAGCTGTAAGCCTTTGAGAGCCCTGGCACAGAAGTACATACTCGTTCTGTGAGTAGGCAAAAAGCAAAACAGCACATAACCAACAATCTCATGGATTTAAGATGCTGTACTCAGAAATACTGATAGCTTTGGTAGACTGTTGTTTTTTAAAGGTGTGCTGGTGCCCCATCTGTTTTTCCTAACAGACCACAACTTATACTTCACAAAATCTTCAATGGCACACATATGCAAGAATCATCCTCATTCAGAAAATGCATTCAGAAAATTGCCCCTAAAATCCAAGGTATTTGTTTTAGTAAATATGACCGCCCTATTCATGTTTCAAGTGTAATTTCCATATGTTTATGTCGCTGTTGCCATATGTGCTCTTGGCCACCTGCCTCATTTCTGTGTCTCACTATGAAATGTTCAGATATTGTTGGCTGTTGGGACTACAGTAAACCTTTAAGTGCCTCTTACTGGTTGGCACTTACACAGATGCACGAATGGAAGAAGCTGTATGTTTCTTGTAAACTGTAATAAATTTAACACACATTTGCATTGCTAACCCCCAAGGGGATTAAAACGATTCCCTTGAAATGCAAAAGATCTCTCCTGTCCTTCTCAGAAGAGACTGTCTCAGTGTAGCCATAAACATCATGAGGAGTGTACTTTGAATGGAAATGAAATCACAGTAATGTCTAGTTTCATGGAAGATGCTATGGGACTCTCAGAGGCAGTGGCTGATGGAGATCTTAACCATTTCTGTCATGAAGAACAGACAGCTAAGAGCATCACTCAGTACCACATTGGGGATTATTTACAAACTACTGGTTGTCATCTGTGCTGTTTACTGCAATGCCTTCCCTTGCAATTCCAGTGTGCAGTCATGCAGCTGCCTGGTCAGCCCACAACATCATCTCTACAGAAGTAGATCAGAGGTAATGGCACTCTTGAAAATACAAACAGGTATTTTTATCACAAGAGTTTCAGTTCAGACTGAAATTTTCTTTTATGCCTTTTTTTTGCAGCCTTTTTTTTTTCCCCACAGATAATTATTATTGGTTTCCTGCCAGGAATGAAATACAGAATCAAGTCCTAGAAATTTAGCAAAAAGACACCTGTATTGTGTGTAACTTTCATTAATGGGAAAAGTGGATATGCATAGAGAAAATGTACGAGTGCCTGAATGGCTTTATACTACATATTGGTTGTACGAAAAATTAAAAATCCATATAACAGAATTTCTATTATTTCCTTGCAAAAATATCTGTTGGTCTGAAAACATCATTGAAAAGACTAGAATTCACTTACTTTTTTTTTCCATTTACCATTTAATTTAAACAGGAAGAAACAAGAGTAATTTAGTCCAAATATTGAATGTGCTTTCCAGTTACATAAACCTGGACTAAACAGATGGGAATGCTTTTCTTAATCAGATTTATGCCCTTTTTCTAAAGTTTCTGCTTCCAGGAGGTGTAGAAAGACACATAGAGATTAAATACCCATGAAAAAACATCCTGCCATGCAAATACAATAATTTTAGTGTCAGTACCATACAGCAGCCATAAGCCCAGGCATGCATGGGGCTGTAGAGGCATTCCTTCACACATCCCCTGCACCATGACCATCAAACAAACTCTGGGCAATAGGAACCCATTTTACCATGAGGAAATAAAAGACCCTTAATACCCTACAGATAATTGAACCAGAGGAACATTCTGTAGTGCTCAGCCAGAGTAAGTGCTGTGGCCTATCACCTGAGTGACTGCTGTGCCTTTCACTGTCTAAGAACACCTTCAGCCATGGCCTAAAAACACAAAGACTGCTATCATTTTGAAAACAGAAAGGTCCCTGTTTGAGAGAAAAAGGGATTCTGGCTGTAATCTTCAGCTGGGAGAAGTCTCTCCCTTTAGCTGAAAGCCAAGTGTAAGGAGGAGCCCCCATGAAAGGCCAGTGCATCCAGGGAAGTGATGGTTTTTCTGAACTCTGATAATGCATCTCCCTGCATTCTGACTAGGAGAAGGTGATTTGGATTTCTGAATTATTACCAGGCTGAACATCTGACTGTTCCAGCATTGAATTCTCCCCTTGTGACTAACTTCCTTGACTAATTTTTGTCTTGATAAAGAAACTGGCAAATTCTTTTATGAAATTTATTTTTAAAATGATGTTGCCTATTGTCATTGCCAGTGTTGTAAAGCATATCAAATTGGTATGACTAGCTGCTGATTTTTCCAAGTAAATGACTAGGTTCTATACTCAAAACTAACCAAGTCTGTCTGAAATATTCTATTTTAATGTATATGAACTATATGAAACTGCAGGGGTTTCATCATTAAGGAAGTGATTTGAACATGAGTCAAGCCACCCTGTTGCATGATTTACATTTCCAAAGAATTATTATTGTCATGCATGAGGTGTCTTTCTACTATGGTTTCTAATTGCTAGAGTAGGAAGTTTTTTGTATCAAAATAGGACATTTTTGTACCAAATCAGGTGCTCATTTTCAAAGCCACTACAGTCCTGTGCCCTGAGGTTGTATCAAACACCATCCACACCTCTAGGAACAGAGGAGAAGAGAAGTTTTTAAGCTCTATCACAAGTATAGCAATTTATATAATCTATTCCTTAAAAAATAAAAAACCCCAAAAAATTAAGAATGACACCCTGTCTCACTTCATTTAACAGCAATAGCACTGACTGCTGAATGGCAGCAATACAGGAATGACTGGGACATATAGAATGAGATTTTCCAAAATGAGAAAAGGCTTGGCATGGCTTAAGGCTCAATGCTCAACTCTTCAGGCAGAACAAATTTTTAGAATACACAAAGTCTCTCAGTCTTGATTTTGGGTGCCCCAAAATAGATAATTTGAAATTTTCTGTCTCCACATCCTTGTTTAATGAAATTTGTATATTGTTAAAGACCAAGAAATTGTTCAAGGATCATGATAGGCACTTCATAAGGACCATTTAACTTAAATATCAGATAAAATTAAGCAGCTCAAGTTTTCAGGAGAATCTATGCAAAATACATAGTGTAGCTTTTTCTGTCCTTTGCCACACTGCTAACCTGGCCATCTTGGCCTTGCTCAGCACTAGGTTGCAATTCCTGCAGCAAACTGTTGGTTCAGGTAGAAGTCAACAGCGTGGATGAAGAGTTACTTGTCACATTACAATGGGAAGCACTGCCTTGGTTCACTGTTTTAAATTTTGAGGTTGCAAAATTTTTCAAGGATGAGTCATCCATCCATCCATCCATCCATCCATCCATCCATCCATCCATCCATCCATCCATCCATCCATCCATCCATCCTCTATTTGAGAAAATCTAAAAGAAGTGAGTCTTGTATGCCATTAATGAACCCTGTCAGTTAAACACTTACTACTTCTTTTTGGCCAAGTTTCTTCAACTCAAACTGCTTAAAGAGCTCCTCTAGCCAAAAAACAATTAAATCTGAGAAGTGATTTCATTCTTTTCTCTCCCCCAGTTCCATCACTTACACAAAGCATAAATAGCATAATGTTTTCTTGCCATGATATACCAGGAAATGATGATCTTTCTGAGGAAGAGGCAGGACACAGCAATGGAATCGTTAATTGCGTGCAGCAATTGTTCCATTCTTCCTTTGAGATGCCCAGGACAAGCAGAGCAGTACTCACTCCTTGAAGGCCAAGTTTTTAGTGGATTCCTCAGTCCAAGTTCTTGTGCCAAATCCTGGGTTCCAATGAGACTCATAAACTGAGCATACATTGTGTTAGCCATTCTGGGATTAATTGGCTCCTTTCAAAGGGAAGAGGCGGTGCTGCACACACCCCAAAGCTGAGAAGACTGAGTTTCAAAAAAGACATTCTGTTTTTGCATGCCAGCTCTATGCCTAATTTTCAAGCATAAATATACCCTGTCCAGTTGGGATTAAGGAGGGAAGATGATCTAGATTTAAGATGCATAATATATTGTAGGCTATAAGGAATTGAGTGGAAAATTAGTTAAATACAGAAGAGACGATGCATATGGCTGGAGAAGGAAGAGAGCAAATGTCTGGAAGAGTAGAGGTGTCCATACCTTTTCAGGTGGAACAGTGTCCCAATACAAAGACAATTCACTGTCTACCCGAAATTTTCCTTAGGAATTTTCTTGTATATGGTCCAATACACATACTAGGCAGAAGAGAGTATGTGTAGGATGACAGGAGAAAGGACCTGACAACTATTCAGGAGCTTTGTAGATGTTTCAGTTTTGCTAACTCGGACTTTTGCCAGTGTTTGTAGCTGTTTATTTGACATGGATCAGGCATTTTTATAAACTCCATGACAGAATTTACCAGGCCTACCATGTAAGTCCAGCACATCAGGATGAAAAAAACATACGGGTCAGATGTCAGGATATTTCAAAGGGAGAGTCATGGTTTTCCCTGAATATGGTAATGCCACTGACCTGCAGTGGTATTCTGAAAATAATCAACTTCTGTCATATCAAGAGGAATCTTGAGAGCTATCTCACAGATGAAGGAGACAATACTATTGTACTACAATATACATGAAGCCTGGACTGCCAATGACAATGTGAACTATTCACAGTTTAGGTTAATTAATTACTTGAGTTTAATATTGTTAGGTTTTGAACAACAGTGTCCTATACTGTTG